ATGCTGTGTGAATTCAGCATAACGCAATATGCCAATCAGATCTAAAGCTGGAAACACAATAGACACAGGCAATAGTCACAGGCAACAGGGAATAACGAGCCGTCCAATCAGAGCTCTGGGATATAATATCGAACTTATACCCCAAAACTCTGATTGGACGGCTCGTTATTCCCTGTTGCCTGTGCCTATTGCCTGTGTCTATTGTGTTTCCAGCTTAAGGGTGTCGTCACATGCAGCCCGTATTCCGTAATCCGCACCGAATGTCCGCAAAAGTTACTACCATGAAGTAAGATATAAAGAGACTCCACTCCGTAAAATAAAAGTGGACCGATTTTAGGTTTCGAGTTTAACTTCCGAATCTCGACACTCACAGCGCTCGTGAAATTAGTAGTGCTGCGCATAATGAGTGTGCCGTAAGAAAAGTGTCACGAACATAACCTGCCTCCTCATCGACCTCCTATTGACTGCTTGGAAACGTGAGTCAAAAATTAAAAAGAAGAAGAAGAACCTGTCTCCTCCAAAATTTTAACTACGTTATGTTCGACTAAAAAAAACGCAACGAAGCGGATTGCCAGAAACTGAGCTTACGTAAATGTTTATTTTATTTATATTTTAAAAATTATAACACTTTCGTAATCCGAAAAATCCGCGTTAGCTCTTTTGTATTGTTAAATTGTGTAATCTATATGAAATTGTTGTGCATGTTACTCGCAAATTATACAATGATGTTTTAGTGGAAATAGAGATACATGATGGATTGCCCTAGAGCAACAACGTTCAATGCAGATTTTAATTTTGTATGGCTATTGGAGCATCTTCATCTACTTCAATTGCCATCGGATAATTGGATTCATTCAAGGACAAAGAAATCACTGCGTTTCCACCAACTTAAACGTACTAGCAATTTCAGAAAGAAAGTAATTGTGCATTCGAACCTGAGAGTTACTGTTCTTATGAATGGCTTGACCTATCCTTTGTCAAAATATATGTATGTCACATGCATGGTTAAATTAAAAAATCTTCTCAACGATGTGGATAGGTTGAATCTTTGATAGCAACTGAAAATGATGTAAACTGTATATACAGGGTCCGCCAAAAGTACCGGGACGGTCTAATAACTTTTGAAAGAATTAAATTTTCAAAAATCGCCGAAACACGTGATTCGATTTTTCAAACAAGCTATCTTTTGAGGGGGGAAATCCCCATCATCATTTTTAACGTTACTACGACTAAATGCTTAAAAATGAAATATCCACGCGAAAAACGCTCGCAGCGCCATCTACAACCAGTGGTCTGAATTCGTCTCGAAAATACCTTTCAAACGAGCCCCCACTCGACCCATGTTGCCATTTAAGATTTTTGGCCCCCCTCGTGCCCCTCATCCTCCTTGAGGTTGGGGGGGCCGAAATCCCCCCTCAAAAGATAGCTTGTTTGAAAAATCGAATCACGTGTTTCGGCGATTTTTGAAAATTTAATTCTTTCAAAAGTTATTAGACACTCCCGATACTTTTGGCGGACCCTGTATAGTACAACGCACTACTAATTTGTATATGATGTTATACTTATGACGTTAGAATATCACAGTGACTACTCAGGAACCTTAATAATTTGTAATTATACATAGAATTGAATAATAAATAAGCAGTACAGTCGAATCTTGTAAAAACATCATTTATTTTAAATATAAAAATAAATTTTCATAATTGTATTTTACATTTTATTATTTTGTATGACATCAATTCTTTTCCTTTTGTTTCTTATCACATTTCTTTCTTCGTTTTTTCTTTTATTAATTGCCTTTACTTCATTTGATTTGACTTCAGTTTTTTTTATCTCTTTACAAGATGTCAGTTTAGCAGCTTTCCTTCTCTCTCGAGTCCGCTGATTTTGCATGTTGTTATTCTTATTTTCTTGTTTACAAATAAAATAAATTCGAGTTGTTAGATAGAAGCGAATAACGCCGTGAGTTAAAACCATGTCGTGTTTGCAACATCCAACTAGTGGTAAAGATCGTACATTCTCCAAAATTTTTGTAATTTCAAAAAGAGTATTCGCATTTAATTCATTACTATTAAGAATATTCAAGGTTGCTTTTTCAAGGATTGAAATCAAAATCAAAAGGTTGACTGAAGGATTGATGAGATTGCCCTTGGACTTAAGCGAAATAAGCTTGTAGCTTTTTGGAACTAATTCTGATGAAGACAATTGCAGTGTTGCTATGCAGTTCTTGCATAGCACACGCTTCTGGCCAATATAAAAACACGCGAACCGTGACGTTTTTCTTGCCACGTAACCAGCTATGTATGCGACTACATATTCCGAAGTAGTACATGTAAAATAATCATGATCTTCAACAATGGACGCTGCTTCTGAGATAACTTCTACATTTATTGCACGATCCAATATAGTATCTATTTGAGCATCCCACTGAGTATTTCTTTCTGTTATGTCCATAATATCTTTAATTTTCAGCAGAACTTCCAGTATTTCTCCACCAGAGATGTTACTTCCTTTTGGAGGCTTCACAAGTGAGTATGTCGATACTAGCCGGTACATTTGTATAAATAACGTAGAATCTGGATGGTCATTCGATCCACAGCAGCTGCGCATCATTCCAAAAAATAGCTTTAACAAAAACATTTCTTTAAATATAATGGCAATACAAATAGTCTAAAATTTTGTTTATTGGATAAATTTTGGAAATAATATTAAAGATATAATGAAATTCTTACAACTACACTTTAAATTTTTAATAACAAATACATGAAATTAATAAAAAACCGAAATGTTGATTCTTCGATTCAATCGATACAGAAAAAAATGCTTTCAGCCTTTGAGCAATGTACGAAATTTCATTCAATAAACAATTTTACTATTTCTTAATTATTTGATTAGATTTTTTTGTTAAACCTCTAAACTATCTCGATTGAGTCTCGCTGTCATTAAATAATCAAATCCGTAGTCTTCCGTCAGATACTGACAAACTTCAAGAGTACCTTTCAATGATACTTTAAATCCATGACATGTAGAGTCGGACATGAAATGGAACCCTTTCTCCTTAACTTCCGTTTCCCAGGTATTTATGTACATCAAAAATTCTTCCACTATCTGTAACAATTGAGATTAAAAAATAAAATTTGATATGTTCAAGTAAGTGGAACAAAGCATCTATTTAGGTTGAACATAATCAATTATACCTTCCATGCTTCATTATCCAGCTTCATAGCATCTTTTGGTGTTCGGCAATTCATAGCTTTAATGAGCTTTTTTATTCTAGAGCAGAACAATTGCATCGATATAGAATCATGTAGTTCATTACATTCCTCTTGAAATAGTTGCATGGATTCTGCCACTCCAAAAAACTGAAATTATAGTATATTACAGGATCATCTAATAATTCTAATATATAATAAACATTTTAATTGTGTGTGAAGGTCGAGTAAATATACCTGAAATGCTAGTGCAACGTTCATTTTTTGATAATACCGAGGCTCAATGTGGTCGATGGTTAACTTGTGAACAACTTTTAAGTTGAAACCTGTAGGATTCTCGCTTTTTAACAAAGCATACCAATGTGAAAGCTTTATCACGCCATCAGGTGTCTTTGAACAAAAATATAATTTATTTATTATATTGTAGTGTCTGTGTTGAATCGTCCCTTGTGCCATACATACTTGTGGATATAGCGATTCTTACCCATGTTTCTGTATGTTTGATTATAAAATTGCGTAAACATTTCACCAGATGTGGAAAATCCGAAATAAACCATAACCGACGAGATGGGTCAACGATGTGTTCACAACTCACGTTTTCTTCGGTTATTCCAAATTTAACCCACATCGAGCGATTCCATGTGGCTCCATCGGTTGTAATTACATCTACATGTAATCCTGCCTGTTCTACAAGTATGATGCACTCTACAATGAGCTGATGAAGAACTGTTGCGGAGGCACAACCTTTGCTGAGGAAACAGGCTAGAGATTGGACCCATTTGCCTTGAAATGGTTGGAACATCATTACAAGTGCATGATCGCCTTTTTTCCCCTTCTGGTGTAGGGGAGTGTACTTTCCTAAATTAGTGAATCCTTGTATTTCCAATCGTGCACGACTAAAAGATACTGCCTCCGATAATTTCATCTCATCAATTAATAAGACTCCTGTAATTATACAATGAAAATAACTGCATTAAAAACAAATAATAATTAGAATGTCAAAAATAAATTCTTGTAACATATAAAGATACAATACCATGAGTTTCTCTGCTGTTCATATGTACAGTCTTTTCTTTCAATACATGGAATGTACTTTCTTGAAATCCATACGTACCCTTGATGGTTTGAATATACCGATCAAGAGTTGTACTACTCGGTAAAACAAGGATATTGTGATTACGAATATGCTCATATGCTTTTCTACTTTTTATTCTCAAAAGAAGACATTCGAAAATCCACTGGTTAGTGTACCTTATACCTTTACGTCCCTTTAGTCGTGATGCAGATAAACACGCACGAACTGCTATCTTTTGATTGTCAGGCAAATTTGTTATCGCTTGTTCTACAGCTTCCGTGTTTGCTTTAGCACATAATTGTTGCAAGCTTCTTATTTTTAATTGAAATTCTTTTTAATCTTGTGAAAAATCAAAATAGAAGTACCAAGGAGAATGTTTTTCAAATTATAAATATTGGTTTAAAATTACCTTCGCCCGCAATCTAATATTACGTTTAAGAGCATTTTTTAGTTTCTTTAATCCTTTTGTACATTTCACTTTTAGTGTCTTATTAGTATTTCGCAATTTCCTCATAACTTGCGTCCGTCTTTTAGTACATATTTTACACCTTTGTGTTTGGGGGCCACTCTTGCTTTTCAATACATAACCGCTACACTCGATGGTTCTATGAAATAATAAACCCATGGTATTTAACTGTTTTAAACATTACGTCTTATATAACATATGGCAATATCCTTACTTTCCTTCAGTCCCTATTCCTACTCCACCACAAGGGAGTAGAGTTGAAACTCGTCTAAGAACAGCA